GGTGATCCCTCTTTAGGGCTGGTGTGTTTACAGTACAAGTGCTACCAGGTACTGGCTGCTGTGACTGGATGACATTGAGTCTGGAGCCTGCAGTGCCCCTTCTGTTTGTCTGACTCCTGCCCTAAGGCAGCGATAGATGGTAGACACAGTAATTGTTAATGAGCCTAATTTTTCCCAGTGTCTAGTTGACTGTCTGGTGGTAAAATATGCAAAAAGAAAATGTATTGGGTCTCTGAAGTTCAACAGTTACTGTCTCTAAGAGTTGACTTCCTGTTTTTCTGTTGTGGGTGGCATAGGCACCAAGGGAGCAAATTAGGCTCTGGGGAAAAATTGGTTCCTTTTAACAGGAACATCTGTAATAGGTAAAGAAAAGGTTAAGGTTTTGTATCAACTTTCAATGGATACATAAGTTAGAACATTGGTGTAGAGGTAAAAAGCATAGGTTATGGGGTCAGGCTGACTGGATTCAAATCCTAATATGGCTAGTAATATGGCTTTGAGCAAGTAACACTGTCTCTATATCTGTTTCCTTATTTGTAAATTGGGAATGGTGATATTGTCTACCTCATAGGGTTTTTTTTCTTTTTAATAGATATGATGGCAATGGGTGTGAGAGAGACTTTTATGGCGCTGGACATTTTCTCTTCTTTGGTGTATGAACTACTTAAACAGGCATATTCAGCTTGTGAAAATTTGTCAAAATGTACACTATGTGTACTTTTCTCACTATATATCCTATATAATAAAAGCCTAATATGCAAATTGACCAAATGGTGGAATGACCGGTTGCTATGACATGCACTGACCACCAGTGGGCAGACGCTCAATGCAGGAGCTGCCCCCTGGTGGTCAGTGTGCTCCCACAGGGGGAGCGCTGCTCAGCCAGAAACTAGGCTCATGGCTGGCTAGCACAGTGGCGATGGTGGGAGCCTCTCCTGCCTCCGCAGCAGCTCTAAGGACCCCTCAGGGGAAGTCTGACTGCAAGCTTAGGCCCCCAGGAGCGGGCCTAAGCCGGCAGTTGGACATCCCCCAAATCCCCCAAATCCCGCAAGGGGTCCAAAACTGCAAGAGGGTGCAGATCAGGCATGAATGTCATGCACTAGGCCTCTAGTTTTTCAATAAAAATTTAAAAAATTCTCACCCTTAGGGCCAGGGAATTTCTGCCCTAAGATCTCTTTCTGTGTCTCTCTCAGTAGAATTTCTTGCTCTTCCTCAGGTAAACAAATGGTAAACCTCAAGTTATTTTAATTGGTAAGTTTTATAGATATATTTGTAATTAACATAAAAATATATTTACATTTTATAGATATATTTTGGCCTAGTTGTCCAGAAAGGGTTGACTGCTATTTAAACTAACTGCAACTTCTTTGGGTCAACTTTGGTTGTACAAAGTTGATTTTGTATAGGTGTGTCCTAAACTAGGACTTAAACATTAACCTCAACTGCAGTTAAGCTACTTGTGGATGAATATTAAATATCTTGAGGTACTTTGTGAAAGAATACTTTGTTCCAGTGGTTGGAACCAAAATTTTTGCTGTCGAACAGTGAAGAATTTGGCTGTGGTCTTGGGGTAATTGTGTTCATATGTGTGTGTTGGGGTCAGGTAAAGATCAAATACCTGGTACCTCTGGGTCTGGCACTCTCTTTATAGTTTCTATAGGATGTGATATAAGGTGGAATGAACCTATAAAAAGACTGTCAAAGATATCATTTTTATCAGGGGGGAAAAAAGAATAGAGTCAGAATTAATAGAATGGAAAGAGTCAACTGGGTCTGAAAATATTTAAGATATGTTGCAAGTGCAAGTGATGGGCTTTTCTAATTTTAGTAAATGAAATTGAGGGTGGATTTCAGAGCATCTGTAATTTTAGGAAAATTTCTTATTTTTTTTTAGGATAAGTATATATTAAACAAAATAAACACCACCAATGTGTTCAGACAAAAACAAAGTTAGTGAGAACAAAAATTAGAGTCTATAGACAAAACAGCAAGCTGATTGATTCGCTCTTCACTCAGCTTTCGGTCATATTACAATGAGTGAGTCTTAAAATCACATTGCTTAATATGCACTCTTCAAAATGCTCTTAATTAAACACAGATGCATATTTTATATTTCAAGTTTGCTTCTCCCTTCAAGTCCATTGCTTATGCCAAATAAAACAAAACACCCCTAAAAATCCAAACCTTATCCTAAGTAGTCTATGATTTTAAATTTCTCCTACTTCATGGTCATACAAGTTAACTCAGAATAATGTATGTTTGGAGAGGGTCTCTTATGTTCAGTAGTATTATAATTACTTAGTAGTACCAATCATTAATAACCTGTGTTATAAATGTACTTTTCAAAATGGTATCTACCATTTTAACTCTTTGCTATAATGGCCCACAAAATTGTGGCTCTCGTGGGATGTGGGGTAGGTCTGGTTTATGCTATAGATTAGAACCGCATGGGCTAAGCCACTTCTGACTGACTGGCACAAATTCACGCAGAAATATAGTGTAATGTCTCTGGGTTCCTATAAAAAGGGGTAGTTATACCAACCCACTTTATGAGACTGTTGGGGCAGATAAATTGTTGAGATAAAGTATAATGACAACAATATGTATGAATCAATCCCCTGAGGCATAAGAGTTTAAATGCATCTACAAATCAGTTACACAACTGGTTATTCAGCAATGTAACCAAAGAAAGCAAATGTCCACTTGAATTAAAGAAAATGAGAATAACATATACATTAGACAAACATACCAATCAGGTGGGTGAGATTTGCTTTCCTGTGTTTGAAAAGGTTAGCAGGAAATGTTAAATATGTAATTGAATACATTAAGGCAGAAATGAGGTATATTATATCTCTATATATAAAAGGCTAATATGCTAAGTGTTTGACCATCCAACTGGTCACTATGACACACACTGACCACCAGGGGGCAGATGCTCAATGCAGGAGCTGCCGTGCTGTAGTGATTTGGCAGCAGTGGTTCTTGGGTGACTCACCTGAAACCAGAGAGGAGGGAGCCTGATTCCTCACAGGGCCACGAGATTCCACCTTCAGCCATGGGTTATGTTGTTGCTGGGGCACTGTCAGCCCCGAATCTGGTTTACTGCACACTTGCATTTGCGTTCCACACCCTGTATGACAGCAACTTTGCAGAGTGCCCTCTCATACTCTGGGACCCCTCGGGGGATGTCGGAGAGCTGGTTTTGGCCCAATCCCCGCAGGCCAGGCTGAAAGACCCCACCTGCCGGAGGGACCTCGCTCACTCCACAGATGCTGGGGAGGGACCACGGGGGGTTGGCTCTAGGGTGTGTTCAGCCCACTTCACCCAGTCCCACCCCACCAGCCACCTTCTAATTAATTTCCTTTCAATGTGCACGAATCTATGCACTGGGTCACTAGTGCTATTAAAATTGATTATAAAGTATCCATAGGTAAAAATATGTAAAGTTGTTTACATGTGGCTTTTCAATCTGCCTTAGAAAGCTTTATGATAATCCTAATATATAAAAACTACCAACCGGAAGTCAGTCCTGCAATCAGCACTGGGTTGCTGTGGTGACCTAGTACTGACTGCTGTGGCTGCAGGTGCAGTGACCCAGCACTGACTGCTGAGGGGGCTGCGAATCAGGCCCGGAGAGAGGCCTGAAGAGAAAAGGAGGGTCTGATCCATATCTGCTATGACAGCTTTTGATCTGCACTTGCCTCTCTCTTTCTCTCCAGCAGCCCCGCCTCCATTTCTCTCCAGGCCTCCACTGGGGCTGCTGATCAGCCCTGCCTTTCTGATCAGACTCTGTTGATAGGCCCAGAGATGCTGACTGGCATAGAAACTGACCAATCAGAACCACATCTGGGTCAACTGTGAGGAGCCAATAGCTGCTTAGGAGATGGAGCTTTTGATGCTAATTGGCATAGGAACTGACCAATCAGAACCAAATCTGGGTCAACTGTGAGGAGCCAATGGCTGCCTAGGAGGCAGAACTTTTGATGCTGACTGACGTAGAAACCAACCAATCAGAACCAAATTGGCCAGCAGAGGAGGGCAGTTGGGGATGAGATCAGGCTGGCAGAGGAGGGCAGTTAGGGGTGATCAGGCAGGCAGAGGCAGTTAGGGGCAATCAGGCCAGCAGAGAAGGGCAGTTGGAGGCAAGATCAGGCCCTCACGGGAGGGCAGTTGGGGGCGAGATCAAGCCAGCAGGGGAGGCAGTTGGGGGCAACTAGGCTAGCAGAGGAGGGCAGTTGGGGGCGATCGGGCTGGCAGGAGAGCAGTTAGGTATTAATCAGGCCTTCAGGGGAGCAGTTAGGGGATGATCAGGTTTGCATGCAGAAGTGGTTAGGGGAAATCAGGCAGGCAGGCAGGCAGGCAGGTAGGTGAATGGTTAGGAGCTAGCAGTCCCAGATTGTGAGAGGGATGTCCGACTGCCGGTTTAGGCCTGCTAAACCGGCAGTCGGACATCCCCCGAGGGGTCCCAGATTGGAGAGGGTGTAGGCTGGGCAAGGGACACCTCCCCCCAGTGCACGAATTTCATGCACCAGGCCTCTAGTTTATTAAGAATAAAACCTCTGGTCATTATTTATTAATAATGCATGTGAAATGCTTTCTTTAAGTATTTTTCTGCTTTATGTCTGTGAATGTGAGTGTAGCCAAAGAGAATACATCTGAGAAAAACTTGCATGAAACCATCTTGAGAGAGCAGTTAACAATGGCTCCATGTCTACGGCCTAAAGACATAGGAACTGTGGCCCTGTTGTGAGAAAGGCCCTATGGTGTGGAATTCCAAAATTATGTAAGATTTTTCTTATGAATGAATATATCTACTTTTAAATAAACAAAACAGAATTTGAAAAGAGCTGTGTAGTTCAAATATTCCTTCCTTAACTTCATGTTTGGAAAAGTAGTATGATATTCCTATTCTTGTCTTAGAATGGGAATAATGTCCCAATCTACTTGATGGTTGGCAAATTATTTTTCCTTAAATGTGAGAAATCTGCAATAAGACATCCGGCTTCTCTCCCCCTCGGATCCCGGCCGCGAGTCATGAGGGAGTAGCGTGAGTGGCCACCTCTTCGGAACCATGGCGTCCCTTTCTCTTGCACCTGTCAACATCTTCAAGGCTGGCGCTGATGAAGAGAGAGCAGAGACAGCTCGTCTGTGTTCCTTTATTGGTGCCATTGCTATTGGAGACTTGGTAAAGAGCACCTTGGGACCCAAAGGCATGGATAAAATTCTTTTAAGCAGTGGACGAGATGCCTCTCTTATGGTGACCAATGATGGCGCAACTATTCTAAAAAACATTGGTGTTGATAATCCAGCAGCTAATGTTTTAGTTGGTATGTCACGGGTTCAGGATGATGAAGTTGGTGATGGCACTACCTCTGTTACTGTTTTAGCAGCAGAATTACTAAGGGAAGCAGAATCTTTAATTGCAAAAAAGATTCATCCTCAGACCATCATTGCCGGTTGGAGAGAAGCAACAAAGGCGGCAAGACAGGCTTTGTTGGATTCTGCAGTTGATCATGGTTCTGATGAAGATAAATTCCGCCAAGATTTAATGAACATTGCAGGAACAACATTATCCTCAAAACTTCTTACTCATCACAAAGATCACTTTACTAAGTTAGCTGTAGAAGCTGTTCTCAGATTGAAAGGCTCTGGTAATCTGGAGGCAATTCATGTCATCAAGAAGCTAGGAGGAAGTCTGGTGGATTCCTATTTAGATGAAGGCTTTCTGTTGGATAAAAAAATTGGAGTAAATCAACCAAAGCGAATTGAAAATGCTAAAATTCTTATTGCAAATACTGGTATGGATACAGACAAAATAAAGGTATGTTTACAGTTCTTAAAACTAGTTGCTAGCTGCTATAAACTTGGTCTGGGAATCCATTGTACCATAGAGGTTAGAATATATATAAATATATGCACATGCACACATTTTTTGGTGTGTTTCCATAAAAATGTATATATATGCTACAGAACTCTGAAGAGTAATGAAAGTGATACTATTTTTCTGCTTTCCTCTTAGATATTTGGTTCCCGTGTAAGAGTTGATTCTACAGCAAAGGTTGCTGAAATAGAACAAGCAGAAAAGGAAAAAATGAAGGAGAAAGTTGAACGTATTCTTAAGCATGGGATAAATTGCTTTATTAACAGGCACTAAATTTCTAATTATCCTGAGCTGGTTTTTGGTGATGCTGGGGTATGGCTATTTAACATGTAGAACACCTGACTCTTCTCACAGGTGGTGAAATTTCATCTTCCTTTGACCACTCGGAACTAGTGAAGCTTGGAAGTTGCAAGCTCTTTGAGGAAGTCATGATTGGAGAAGCCACCTCATTCATGGTTGCCTACTATTATAGCTGACAACGCAGGCTATGACAGTGCAGATCTGGTGGCACAGCTCCGAGCTGCCCATAGTGAAGGCAATACAACTGCTGGACTGGATATGAAGGAAGGTACTATTGGCAATATGGCAGTACTGGGCATAACAGAAAGTTTCCAAGTGAAACGGCAAGTTCTTCTGAGTGCAGCTGAAGCAGCAGAGGTGATTCTGCGTGTGGATAATATCATCAAAGCAGCACCAAGGAAACGTGTCCCTGATCACCACCCTTGTTAAGCATTCCTATATGCTGTTATGCTCTGGACCAGTTCATAGCAAAGTTGTTTGAAAGACTTCGACTTCTTAAAGAAGACTGTGGAATCGAAGTTGAGCTGTGGTTCTTATATCCTTAAATTTAGACATTTAGCTGACCTTTCATTTTAACATGGGTCTAACTTATTTGCTGTTCATTCTCCATAAAATTCAGTTGTTTTAAAAGTACATTTCTCATACTGTGCATCAAAATAAAAATTTGAACAATTAAAAAAAAAAAAAAGAAATCTGCAATAACCACAGAAAAGCCTTCCTTAAAAAAAGAGGATCTGATGTTGCTGCCCTGATGCTCAACAGTATTATGAGTTCATGCTAAGTGAAACCATTTCTGGAGCAGGTTAGTTCAATTTATCACAGAGGGTCAGGCCAGAATAATCTCTTGGAGACCTGGATGACAAACTTGTTTTCCACGTGACTGCAGATATAAGCAAGAAATGTGGGCAAGAAATTGTATGTGGACCAGTGAAATCTAGCAAAAATATAGAAAACTATTGTTTTTAGTAAACCAATCTTATAACTCTCTTCAACATTGTCCTTAAATATTTTTGTGCTATTGTAAAATATATTTTTAAAACTTTAATTTCTGCTCATTTTCTGATTATATATAGAAATGCAATTCATGCCAAAACCGGTTTGACTCAGTGGATAGAGCGTCGGCCTATGGACTGAAAGGTTCCAGGTTTGATTCCGGTCAAGGGCATGTACCTGGGTTGCGGGCACATCCCCAGTAGGAGATGTGCAGGAGGCAGCTGATCGATGTTTCTCTCTCATCGATGTTTCTAACTCTATCTCTCTCCCTTCCTCTCTGTAAAAAAATCAATAAAATATATTTTAAAAAAAGAAATGCAATTCATTTTTATACCAATAGCAATATCATGATATTGTGTTTTTCAATCTTGCTAACCTCACTTATTAGTTCTAGTAGCTTTTTGGTAAATTTTGTAAAATTTTCTTTATAGATAATCAATTATGTTATCTACAAATTCTCCATCCTTTCTAATCTGAATGGCACACACACACACACACACACACACACACACACAGACACAGACACAGACACACACACACAGACACACACACACACACAGCATGTTGGAGAGTTATAAGCCATGGAGAGAAGGGGAAAAAGGAGTACTGGTCATAACGGGTAGGGGAGGGGTTGCAATGTTAAAGACAGGTCAGAGAAGGCGTTGCATTTGAAATTTTTGTTAAGCTCCTTCTCTATGCCTGCCATTGTGCTAGCCACGGTGTTGGACATAAATTCCAAATAAAAAGATGTGATCTTTGTCCTTGTAAAGCTTGCAGCCTAGTTCCTTTTCTGCACACCTTGAGTCTCTCCTTAGTATGGCTACCCTAGTGATCTTCCTGCAATGTGGGAGACCCTCATCACTACCCTGCTTAAAACCCTTCAGTGACACTTCCAGGCCTTGAGGGTTAAATTCTGGGTCCTGAGCAGGTTTCAGCCCTTCCAGCCCTGTCCCACTCATATTCCAGTCCAAGGCCTCCTGGCCTGGGATCAGCGGAGCCTGATGGATCCCTGTGTGTTTATGCACCCTGGGGGTTCAGAGGTCCTGTCCTAGGCAGAGGCCTATGGCAAAATTTTCGACTCCGAGAAGCAGCCTACGGGCTGGAAGGCGGCTCCTCTGACCTCAGTGCTGGAGAAGACCATTAAGCAGAAAACTAAAGAAACCGATTTTACATCATTTCCCAGGTGTAGAACAGTTGGCATGTAAGCCCCTGACCAGTGCCCAGCCTCTCCTCTGTCAGTCTATCTCACTCTTAGGTACCATGTTCTTTGTTCTGTCTTAACTGCAACTCATTTTTAAACTAGATTGCTTTTAAAAGAAGACTAAATAAAGTTTCCCTTAAGTTATTTAGGTGGTGCTGGGGCTGCTGGGGCTGCTGGGGGCCTGATAGAAGACACAAACACGCAACGGGGGGCCTGTACCCAGCAGCCCCAAGGCCCGCCACCTTGGTGCTGGGGCTGCTGGGGGTATCAGAGACACAAACCCCCAGGCCGGCACCCAGCAGACCCAAGGCCTTCGTGGCAGCACTAAGGAGCAGCAAGCCAAGCGGTAGGAAGCAGCAAGCAGGTGGGCAGTAACATGGGAGGGGTCCCGGACTGCAAGAGGGCACATGCTGGGCTAAGGGACCCCCCACCCATCCCCAGTGCACGAATTTCGTGCACCGGGCCTCTAGTGTATATATATAATTTGTCTTATAACATTTGCTGGAAACTTCATTACAATGATAAGTAGAAGTGTCTTGATAATGGTTATTCTAGTTCCTAATCCTTACTAAGATTTTAGCTGTGAATTTTGCATGGGTCCCCTTTATTAGATTGAGGATGTTCCCTTTTACTTCCAGTTTGCTGAGAGTTTTTATCAGAAATAGGTGTTGGATTCTGTCAAATGCTTTTTATGCATCTATTGAGATGATTGTATGGTTTTTCTATTTTAGTTGGTCGATATGGTTAATTATGTTGATTAATTGTTGAATGTCAAACCAAGTTATCATTTCTGGGATAAGGCCTATTTGGCAATGACATATCATCATTTTAATATATTTCTTCAGAGTTTATACTTTTAGATTTATGAGAGATTTTAGACTGTAGTTTTCCTTTATTGTAAAGCATTGTTCTGGTTTTGGTATCCAAGTAAAGTTGACCTCATAGAATTACCTCTTTAGTTTTGTGGAAGAGTTTGTGTAGAATTGGTATTATTTCTTCCTTAAATGTTTGGTAGAATTTCTCACTGGGCCAGGACTGTCTTTATGAAAAGATTTTTAAATATGAAGTCAATTTTTTCAATAGATAAAAGACTACTTAAGTTATCTCCTATTTGAATAAGCTTTGGTAGTTCGAGATCTTTAAGCAGATTGTCCATTTCATCAAAGTTTGTCAAAATGATTGGCCTAAAGTCACTCATAATATTCTCTTATTTTGCTTTTAATATATGGAGAATTTATGGTAATATTCCCTCTTTCACTTTTGTAATTTGTAATTTGTTTTGTATTTGTAATTTGTTTTATCTTCTTTATTTGTGGTCAGTCTGGCTAAAGGTTTATCAAGTTGATTGATGTAAAATAATAAGCTTTTGGTTTCATAAATTTTCTCTATTATTTTCCTGTTTTGATTACATTGTCTTTTGTCTTTACCTTTACTATTACCTGTCTTTTGTTTAATTTGGGCTTAATTATTTTCTAATTTATGAGATAGAAGTGGAGGTCATTGACTTGAGAATATTTTTCTGACCTAATATGGGCATTTTGAACTACAGATATCTCTCCAAATATTGCTTTAGTCACATCTCACGAATGTTACTATGTTGTGTTTTCATTTTCGTTTAGCTCCATATACTTTCTAAATTCCATTGGTTTATGTAGAAGTTTGTTATTAAATATCCAAATATGTGGAGATTTTTCCAGATATATTCTCTTATTTCTAATTAAATTCCATGTGGTCAGAGAACATACTTTATAAGATTTGAAATCATTTAAATTTATTGAGACTTATTTTATGGCCCAGAAATTAGTCTATCTTGGTACAGTGGGGCCTTGACTTACGAGTGTCCCGACTAATGAGTTTTTCGAGATACGAGCCATCGCTGATTTTTTGCTTTGAGTTGCAAGCTAAAATTTGGGTTACGAGCCAGCTTCAGATACCCCACCGCTAGTTGGCGCAGCGAACGAACGTCACAGTGAACGCCACATTAGCCCAGCATCACGTGTCTCACTTGTTCACTTTAATGATTTGACATAAGAGTAATTTGAGTTACGAGCTCCATCACGGAATGAATTAAACTTGTAAGTCAAGGCCTCGCTGTATATTTTACCTATTTCTTGTAGATTTATAAGGCAAGCTGTTGCTAGTGCCAGGTCTTGGGCCTCTTATTGATAGATATGGGGCATTCTGACACCAGCTGCTGCTTGTTGGAGAGATTTTAGGAAAAGTCTGAAGCCAGAGCCAGGACAGGCCATTCATATGGAAAAACCACTGCAAACAGCTTGGGTGAGGCTGCAAGTTGGATAGGGCGGGGTCTCAGGGAATCCCCAGGGTGGAGTGAACAGTGAGAGCCATGCTGATGGAAACTCAGATATGGCTGCCAGTCAGCTCAGGTTCCCCCAATGCTGCCACCCAGCCCTGGAGCTCAGAGGGAGCGGTACTGTGTAAGTTCGTGTGCCAGCCCTTTAAGAGGGAATAACATGGCAGGAGATTTAAATACCAGTTGCGCAAATGGCCAAGTGACTTTTGCAGCAGGAATATTTAGACCTACATTTTTGGTTTGTTTGTGTTATGGACATACAAATTCCCTGACATCCTAAATGTGCAGTCCGGTTTTGTCCCACATGTAGATACCCATAGGAGTGATTGGTTGTGGGAAGTTAGGAAAAACAGTTTCACAGTTGGATCAATGTAGTGTGAAATTAAACAGGATGCATGGATGAGATGGTGAGATGTGCTCTAATGGAACTAATTCAAAAATTTTAAAAGCTGAAACTAGAGGTGAC